GATCAAAGGCAGTTTCACCGGTCCACGTGGAGTAAAGCACGCCTATGCGTGGACATAGCCTATGAGAAAGCGTGTATTTCAGAGCTCCGAACAAGTGCAGGTGGCTACTGAAAATTGAAACAGTTTAGCCAGTGCCGTGTAGCGGTGAATAAACGTGTTTTCTTTAGTCTGTCCGTGTTTTTCCATAGATTTTATTAGTTTGTGTGTTTTTGACTTTTGAATACTCAGTTTACTTGTTGATTTAATTGTTGTGTTGATTGTTCTTGTGTGTCCTAAATATGGCTCTTTGGAGACCTTGGGAAAATACTCCAAGCCACGAGGAGATGGTTGATGAACCTGTGCAGGCAGAATTCTTTCATAAAGATTTAGAGGAACAGACCCAAAGAGTAATCCTAAATATGTATGATTGTCTGAAAAACGAAAATCCAGATTCCTCGCAAAATCAAATTTTAAACAGAATTTGTATCCTGACAAAAATCAGTCGGTCTACCATTTATCGGGTTATAAAAAGGGGAGATGTAGTCAACCATTCCTTCCACAGAAAGCGCATAGGGCAAAAATTAAAAAGAATAGACGTGGGTTTTCAGGAAGATATTCGTCGTATAATATACGGATTTTATAAAGAAAATTTGGTGCCCACGTTGGAAATGATACGGGATAAATTAAAAGATTATCCTGAAGATTTTTATAATTACAAATGCTTAGACTCACTGCACTGTATTGTAAAACTGTGTGGTTTTCAATACAAAAAATTAGATAAAAGAATGGTGATTATGGAGTCGTCTCGAATCGTTGAATTGCGCCAAGAATTTTTGCACAAAGTTAAAATCTATAGAGAGCAGAAAAGAAATCTGATTTACCTGGATGAAACGTGGTATGATACCCATGATGTTGTGCAGTACGGCTGGGTTGACGACAGCAACAAGTGCATTTTAAATGCACCATGCAACCGTGGAAAACGAATCATTATTCTCCATGCTGGCAGTGAAAATGGATTTATACCTAATGCCTTGCTGTTATCTGCCAAAAATATCAAAGAATCATGTGCCGACTATCATGAGGACATGACCTATGACTTATTTGAAAAGTGGATAGAGCAGCAGTTAATACCAAACATTTCCCCAAATTCAGTGATTATTATGGACAATGCGCCATACCATTCCCGACAGAAAAACAAAATTCCGAATACAGGCACAAAAAACAAGACATTATTGATTTTATGAAGGATAAGGGAAGGGAAATACCACAAAAATCAACCAAAGCCATATTATTGCATCTTATTAAAAGACAAAAATTTGAAAAAGAGTATGTTGTTGACAATCTGCTTCAGCAAATTGGCCATGAAGTATTACGTCTACCTCCCTATTACTGCATTTTTAACCCGATTGAGTTGGTCTGGGCTGCTTTAAAAAAAAAGTAAGAAAACATAATCAGACCCCTCAATTAAGTGAATCGCTATTGGCCACAATAAGAGATGCAGTATCTCATATTGCTGCCACAGACCTATGGAAGCAGTGTTCTAGGCATATTATTGAAAAAGAAAATGAATATTGTGTTTTGCCTCCTGTAAATCCCGTTGTAATTCCTCTACAAGATGACTCTAGCGACAGCTCCGAAGGCGAGGATGATATATAAATACTTATAATGTAAGTCTTTATATACCTTTTTATATACCTACCTGCTATGTAAATATTTGCCTATGTCAAACGTTGGAATTCTGTAATTTTTCCATTTCTTAACTTTCAGTCAACATAAATCAATTTCCCAATATAAGTATTTTTTATCCCAAATCAAAAAAATAAGAAGATAGTAAAATCCATTTATTGTGATATAAAAACATTATTATTATCGTTCTAAATAAATGACCGCACGCCTATGATACGTCATGAAATTACAAAGGACGCGCCGACCAAAGGTTTTTATGCTATTTCAAGTGACTTCAGATAAAGTATACATTTAATACCCTATATCATGGTAGAGGAGCATTCTATGATATATCTATACGAGTGCTTATAAGAATATTTGTTATATTTGAATATACTTCCTGCCCTAGAGATACTGGCATTATTTTTTGAATCACCCTATGTATGTCATCTTAAGGTTTGTAAGTTAAGAGATTCTTCCCAATCATATACAGCGGCTTCATGTTATTTGAAATCTTCAGCACGATGTAGGCCTGGTCTCGGTGAACAACGAACAAAATCTACCCTATTCAGAGTAATTTTAACGGAATAAAGTTGCTCGGCTTTCGTTTGTTGTCCATGGTTGGCAGTCTGTGGTCGGACGTACAAAAGATATACGACTAGCTTTTTTGTTGTTGAGTAGACCGCATTTACTATAGTACCAGAATCGGAGGCATCTAGCGGTCACAGTGGTGACCCTGATGACAATGCTAATTGAGATATAGTCCCAATAGACAGCTTGCTGTTTGCACTTCCGCAGTGGTCGATTCTGTGACAGATGGCACTTTGTGTTGTCTTATTTCGATAAACCTTCTGCTCCGAATAGAGTCGAATTGCTGAACTTTTGTTCGTTATCCGTCGAGACCAGGCCTACACCATGTTGAGGTGCTGCCAAATAGCACAGAACAACCTTCCATGGTTATCCGTCTGTGGTAGGACTACCAAAACCTATATTGTTAGTTTAGGGCAAAATACAACAACACAATTTCATTGATATGGAAATGCAAATGCGACTCGTATCACGGTTGAAGATTCTGAAAATTGAATTTTATCGTTAAATTAGCTATACCAACACAGATGAGTGAACTCTCATTTTAATATTTCGTTGAATATTTATATACCAACTATTTTTTATAAAAGCTGAGAGCAGATGATTTGTGCACAACAGGCGGACACCAGATAGTATCTGCATGATAAGTATTGTAATAATGTTCAACTATATCAGTACATATCAAATCATCACTATTAATTTCCTGTTGGCAAGGAAACTTCCATCAGCTTTATAATTTGATCGTCATATTGTACCTACGTGAACGTAACATGACAAGCTTGATGATGATTAGAGACAAGTAACCAAATGGAAATGGAAAACCATTTTGTTTTGTTGAAATAAAAAGAAAACTACATTGGAATAAAAATAGTTTAACGTCTTTACTAATCAGTCGTGCACTTTCCATTAGTCAATTTTAGCAGCCTCTGTTAAATATATACTAAGTGACATATAAATCCGAACACCCAGTTTAAATGGTTTTATTTTAATAAAATTTTGTATAAGTACTTAATGAAGCATATTAAGTAAATGATAAAAATTTCAAAATGATTGCACTGCTTTAAAGCCCTTTGACCTTTAATAATGTGTGGATGCACCCTGATGTGCTACGCATTCTCCAACGCGCCTAGGCATGTTACTGATCAGGTGGTCAATGTCCTCCTGTGGTATCTCATTCCAGGCAACCACCAACTCCTCTCGAAGTGCTTTTAGAGTCTGAGGAGGACGTTGCAAATTGAGCAATCTCCTACCTATCATATCCCACACGTGCTCAATTGGGGATAAGTCCGGAGATCTTGGTGACCATGGTAACAATGTGACATCATTATGTTGAAAGAAGTCTATTGTGACTCTTGCAACATGTGGTCGGGCATTACCTTGTTGGAAAGTTGGATCTGCCAGGGTGTCAAGACAGGGTAAAAGATGGGGTTCTAGAACTTCGTGGATATAACGCTGCGCGTTCATGTTACCTCTGATGAAGATTAAAGCTGACCTGGAACCATAAGCTATAGCACCCAAAACCATAACTCCAACAGTATGATGAACATGTCTTTCAACAAAAAACTGTGGATTCCTCCTTTCACCACGTCGCCTTCTAACCCTGGCACGACCATCGTGCATGCCTAAACAAAATCGAGACTCGTCACTAAAGACAATACTGTTCCATTCCTGATCCCAGAGTGACCGCTGTCTGCACCACTCAAGGCGATTACGTCGGTGTTCGAGTTAAAGGGAGGACCCAGTCTGGCCGGTATGAAAACAAGCCAAAACTTCTCATTCGTCGGTAAACACTTCGCATGCCAATAGGTCTACACTTCTTTGCACTCTAACTGCAATTGCCCGAAAAGAAAGTCCAGCTTCCCGAAGTCCCACTATACGGCCCCTATCAAACTCACTAAGTTGACGAAATCGTACAGGTCTCCGTACTGTAGGCATCGTAACCGATCGTAAAGGATATCAAGAACCAAAATCCGCCAACGTTGATTCTTTACTGCAGCTGAAATATTCATTTTAGTGAATTAAAAAAAAGCAGTATAAAAACCGGAATGTCCAACTGATAAGGCTGAAAATTTTTTCACTTGTTATATACAGTAAGATAAATACATTCACCAACTTTTATTAAAATAAAACCATTTAAACTAGGTGTTCGGATTTATATGTCACTTAATATATTAAGCCTCAAAATGAAACCGAACACGAAAGACAAAATAATAAGAAAAACAGATTCCAGCATACATGGTGTCTCCTAATTGAATGTGAATGTCTATGTGGGCGATTTTTGAGGAGAAGAACCTTATGCGCATACGTCCTATTGTTCTAAGTTTCAAGATACAGATCTTTTCTCACATAAAAAAATTTAAATCAGTATTCGGTTACGAGCAGATTTAATTTGTAAATTTTTTCAGTAAGAAACACTGTTTTCATTTAAAAAAATAAAAACAATTTCTCTTGCTGTTACATTAGCGGTATTGTTATGAACATGCAAAGAAACGGTTTTTATTATTTTAAACGAAAGCCGTGTATTGGATTGAAAAACACAATGGTAATCAGTGGCGTACCATTAATGTCTTCCAAAATAAGCAGGTGAAATTGCGCACGAACGCCACTGATGTAAATTAAAAGGTGTAGGTCATTAAATGCCTCTTGCTACACAGTACGTGTATGTCCAATATCATTGAAATCAATGGTATTTGCAGATATTTATAATAAATGGAAGTACCCTGTATATGAAGCTGTTGCCTCTTCTGAAATGCTGCATGCATTTTCTTTTATAGGATGAACTTCATAGCTTCTGCATTTCGTCTTCTTGACTCCAGGTTTTTCATTTTGTGTGGATTGTGCAGCAAATGTTCTAGAAGTAAAAATGCCATGTTTTACTGAAATAAACGCACAGAAGCAGGTACTTATTATTTAGCATAGTAGATAGTAAGTCCATAAGTTACCTGCAGGATAGAATTGATTTTTTGGTACCAATGAATTTTTCTAAATAAATTGTCGATGTACTGTCCCCGTTGTGTAGCGAGCTCTCCATCTACGTTTGAGGAGCACATCCTGTTAGACAACGGTGTATATTAAATTTAATTCTGGGTGCAATAAGAGTGACCCAAGTGCGGCTGACAATTTGACCTCAATTGGTAAACCGCATCTAGCGCTATAGAAATGTCACTGGTAATATCTGAATTAGGCGATGTGTTTAACATGTCACCAGCACATATACAATCATAGGAAATGTAGTGGAATTAAGTCAAGTGCACCGCTCGTTACTGATTTAAACTGACTGGACGCATGAAACCGCACAGATTATGCAATTAAGCTCAATTTACGTGTGAATGCGTCGCTGCTAGGACTGATGACCGTTGTATTGTTAACGCTGTCCCTGTAAAGTACAATTTGTGAATAGGAAACTGCACCTCGACGCTATGGGGAGCGAAAGTTCAAGAGACAAAACACAATATGTAAAATGGTAAAACGTCGTGGGTCACGTCCCAGTAGCCGTCTGCCATAAAGCCACATGTATGGACAGAATCTTCTTTACTGTAAACGCTTCAATTACAAAGGTGATTGCCATGTGGGCCCCGTTCGTAAATACTTACTTTGTACTATTTTACATTGTGTACTTTTTATTACCCTGTAACAATTTTAGCGTCAAAATTGCGCTTTTCTTCCCGTGCTCGACTGTTGCCGCTTGTCCTTCTTATGTGTCACTGCTTGTTTACTTTATTTGCATATCAAGTGCTCAAAATTGACAGAATATATATATATATATATATCACTTTAATCAACTTAACATGGGCTTCAATGTCAGGATTATTCCAAAGCCACTTACTTGGTGACGTAACGAAAAGGGAGCTGTTCTTCCTTGGCGAGAGATACGGTCACTAGAACTGGGTTGCCGTGGCCAAGCCTATTTTTAAGAAAAACCTTTTGAGTACCTTCCATATTCTACCGACTCATGACATGTACAACTCTACTGTCTATTCATTATGTTGATTAGCTGTCTGAATACTGATCACAAAACAATATAATAATGGCCATGATATTTCTCAATTATATTATTATAAATTACATTACATTGCATGGGGGAACGGTAGCATCCTACCGCATGGAAGTCATAACGAGGGGAACGGTAGCTTCCTACCGCATGGAAGTCACGCCTGTTATGGAAATATAATACCTAGCACGGGGGAACGGTAGCTTCCTACCGCATGGAAGTCACGCCTGGTATGGAAATACCTTGCACGGGGGAACCGTAGCTTCCTACCGCATGGAAGTCACGCCCGTGTCCATACTCGGGGGAACAGTAGCTTCCTACCGTATTGAAGTCACGCCCGGTATGGATACCTTTATATTCGGTGCTTAGACAGATATGCCAAGTACTTGATTGTTACGAAAAGCAGCCCAGAAGTCAATATATCACGTTGCCGTGTCAATACCCAAAAACGGACAACTTTAAGTAACAATCCCTATACACATCTTGCCATGAGATACTTTCAGACTCCTGCAATTGTCTCGATAAGAACCTAGGCGGTCACACAGACCCAGGATACCACGCCGGCCAATGGTCGTTGTGTCAATACCCAATACGCTCCGACATTTCCTCTGACAGAAGAAACCGAGCAGTAATTCCCCCGATGGCAACCTGGCTCTGTAGGTCTCATAACAGCCTCCAGGATATGCAGGCGTCACAACTCTGTAGATTTTTGATGCTAAGTTACCTTTAACTTTATCTTAACTGTTGATAAACATATCTCATCTGACTAGGTTTGACTTATTACAATTATTATCATGATTATAAGGGCACCATGGTTAGAAGATACACATGACATGCAGTACAGCAAAACAATAAAAGATACTCAGTGAAAACCCTCACCGTTTGATTGATCGAACCTTGACCTGAACTTGATATGGACACTATTCACAAAATCACAACACACAGACACTTCCACCTTTCAACTGTTAGAACAATATTAGAATGAACTAAGAGGGCCTGTGCCTCTGCGTGCCTTTAGTTTCACGAATCTGCAGGGACGTAAGTGGTTGTTGAAATGTGTATGCCAGCAGTGCCTTTCTTAGCATTCCAAGTGTCAAGCGATACCTTTACAGGGTGACTCCGTTACAGAAAAGTGTCTAAAATGTTGTGTATGCTTACAATATATATATATATATTCACGATAAATGGGTTACCTCGTATCTACATCGCCTATGATAATAAATATTACGCAATTACTCACGCAGAAAACGTGCCATCAAGTATCATTACATGACACTGAAACAAATTTGTGCCGAAATAGTCAGAATGTTTTCAAATGACTCTGCAATTTTCAACTTACGCGTTTTTTGTAGTTGTCAACAGTCGTGGGAACCACATAACGTCAACATGTTGATGAAAATTTAAATTCCATATGTTCGGAAATACTAAAGTGCAAACACTCCATAGATATAGGCCACGAAGGTTTGAGTTATCTTGAGGGCCCAAAAAAATCTTATGAGCCCTAATCTTTTATTCAGATAAGCGACCGCAATGCTGAGGCTATTCAACATACTAAGACTTAGTATTATACAATTACATTTATCGCTGTACTGCTAAGAGAGCCAATTTAATGGCTCAATGTGAGAAAGATTAGGTAAAAATAAGGCTTAGTTAACTTGTTTTGGCTGATTTGTAGTTATACTTTGTAAAGCAGTAAAGCATAATTACAAAAAAAAATTCACCAGTTCCAGACACTTTCTGTCGGCGCTGTCCATAACACCTGCTAAATAACATACATACTATAAATTGATCTTTTCCCAACTTATTTGTTTGACGGTTTAGAAGAAAAGGTTTTATATAACCATCATTAGGTCTAATATGAAGTTTTTCATACTAGCTTTTTTTTCATTCAAGAAATTTCTGAAAATTCCAACATTTTTTTGTAGGTGTCAACGATAGTGGAATCCATATGGCATACGCCTTACTCATCGTTCAAGATTGTTGTTACGCTGGGTTCTCATATGCCATAATAATGACATCGTCTTCTATAGACTCACGCTCCCACCGAAACTGCTGCGACCAAAATTTTATTGTGTAATTTGATGGTGTATCACCCCCATAGGCGGCAGCCATACTCTCAAGAATTGTCTTTGGCTGACGGCCCTCTTTTGTTAGAAATTTTATGACCCTACGATACCCTTATTTTAAGCTACTAATTTTTGTTCACAATTCACTTTATAACTTGGGAACTGATTGTCGTAATTAACTCAAATTCAAAGTAAAGTTATAACTCGTGCCATACATGCTATGATTATTTGCTTGAATTGTTTTTTTCATAGCTAGGTAGATTTCCTTTCACGTATCCCTAGTAGATACTCAATACTTGCCAGGCCTCTACTTGTCGTTCTGACTTGGTTGAAATGTTCCTTCTAGTTTATCGAAGACGTGGAGCAAGCACTTTAATAAAAGTGCGCTTCCACAGTCCCTTCATTCTTAGCTAGTTTAAAAGGAGTTTCATTAAAATCCGTTTTCAAGTTTTGCCTTAACCAGCTGGTGCAGTAAATTTAATCTTTGAATATGGATTTATATGGACTACTTCAGGAGCACTGTTACAAAAATTGAAGAGTTTAAAAAGATAAACAACCTTCTCATCATTTATGTATGCTCAACAAGACCTGTGAAACTCACATATGAATTATCTATCATCTGCATGCTCGTCGTTTGGTTTTATGATAAATAGACGGCAAGTGAGTTGCTCTGGAATACTGGAACTAAACTTGGGAGTTCAATTTCACAACTTCTAATGGCGTAACGCTAATATGTAAAGTTCAGCCTCACCTCTTTAAAACGTGAAACAGAAATTGCATATCCGATGGGAGTAAGAAGGCTCGATTCGCAACCAAATAGCCTGCGCAACAGTTTCCAACCAATCGAAACGGAAACTTCGGACTGTGTTTATTATGTTGTGATTGTCCCAATTATTTTTATTGCATCTTCAACCACATTGATGTGTGTGTTTGTTTCCAACATGTCGAAGAGAAGGTACAAGATCCCAGAGCTGCCAGTCATACTTATTCTCTTAAATACATAACGTGGGGTATTGATAAGCATTTACATGATAACGAAGACACTGCTTTTATCATTCAAAGCCTGATTTATTACCCTTACACTACTTTATCACAGCATTTACAACTAGTTTATGACAAATTTACAACCATATCGACTGGACTATAGCTTATATTCATCGGACGCTGACTGCCGCTCCGCCATTTCAGTCTATAGACTCCAGCGTTATAATTCAAACTTTCGTGAATCATGTCTATGAAATCTTTGCATTTTAATATTTCGGAAGATGTGTGTTTTACATTTTAATGAAAATTTGTCTTTTCATCTTAGCACTAGTACCACAAAATTCGCCCATTCTCGGATATTTAACTTGCTATTTTTATCTGAACGCATGGTCCAAACACTTCTTACTTTAGAATCTAAAATTCAAACTTACAAAACATATAAAGATGAAGGTACTGCGTTATAGAAATTAATTATGAACATGCACAATAGAGAACTTAAATGGATCGAGTAAGCCCTACCATCCCAGTAGTTACTGTTCATCTGGCAAGGTTGCCCCTTCGCATATAGGCAAATGCTCTAGCATTCAATGTTTTAAAGACAAACGTACTGGGAAGCCTCTGATATGGGAAATATGCCAAATAGGCGCATAGAAATTACCGGGTTTTTAGCGTATAAATATTCTAACGCTAAAAAATTGATATTTTCCCTCCCCATCCCCAACAATCCCCAAACTCCCAAACCCCTATTTTTTATGCCTAAAAATTCTTTCAAGTATGATCAGGATCCTCCAAAACGTCAAAAACCACATT